TGCTAGGAGCTTCCTCTGCCTAAGCTTCCCAAATGTTAAGTGTGCACAGCCACACCCTTCATCTGCGACCCTTTCTCACAGGCTGTAGTTCCAAATTGATTTTTTTTAATTTATGCATTTTTGTACAGGATCTCACTATGCAGCTCAGACTTGTAGTGATCCTCCTGTTTTAAGCCTCCCCAGCTCTGGATTACGGAAGTGCACTACTACACCCAGACTCGCTCCTAGGCTCAGTGTGCCCAGGGCCAGGGCTGGTGCAGCATGTAGTCCCGGGGATCGAAGCTGGTCTTTATGCTTGACTAAGCAGGTGCTTTAGTCTGCTGAGCTATCTCACTGGCCCTCCACATTGATTTTACCAAAACCAAATTGGCTTAAAACAATGTGGTATTTTATTTCCCTGGTCATGCATACAAAGCGTCCATAAAACCTTGAGCCGAATTCTGGGCTCAAACACCTGCAGGTTTCTGGAAGGTGGTATACCTACGGAGGGGAGTGCTTTCAATTTTAAAGTAAACAATCTAGGTTAAGTTTGTATAAGAATATATATATATTCTGCCCCACAGGTCATGGGGGTGTAGGGCAACAGCATAAGGCTGGATCCAGGACCAGGGACTATAAGTGGGACTATAAGTCCCACTTTGCTATTTCAAGCCATATGATCTTAGAGAAGTCACCAAATGGAGATAGTGGCAAAAAGATTACAATTTCCTAGAGATGTGTTCCATGGCCCAATTATCTTCTGTGAGTATGCAACTGTGCAAAAATGAAAGTCTTAGAATTCCTCTTAGAATGCAGTTTTAGTCCAGTTTGTTCTATGAACTTGCTCCTGCTCTTTAAAACATTTTAGAAATAAAGAATTTTTTATCCCAAGTCTCATCTAAAAAGCTCCTGCTTTTGTCCTTTCAGAGATAAAGAGGTAGAGGCTGGGATAGGGCTCTGAACAACCCAAATGTGAGGCAGTACAATATCCTGTTCCAAATGTATTTCCTTGACATATTTCAAGATGATTGTTCAGAGAAAGTGCAGACGAAAATAGCTCTGAAAATCTGTCCTTTTCTAAGAGAAATTTCATTGTATCTATCTTAGTAAAGTAAGCAAAAGAGAAAGGCAAAGCCTTCGCAGCAATATCCCTGCAGCTGCTAGGAAAGATCCTTTCATAGCAAGAACAGATTGGGTGTCTGACACCTGGGCAGACAGAGATTGTCACAGGAGACCTTACAGAGGTCACTACCGAGGAAGCTCTGTGTGTCGTAGGAACCTGTCAGCGCCCTGTAGTTCCTCTCTTGACCCTCGCACAACTGTGTGCTCCCCACCCTGCCTCTGAGCTTCAAGCCTCTATTCCTTTGTGTAATGTAAAATATTATATAAATATCAATCTTCTAGTCTTTTCCTTGAGAGTCATCATTTGTATATAGGGCTCCTGTGCTTCTGTACATTAATTAATAAACTTGGGTGCTTTTATCCTATTCATCTGTTTTATGTCCTTTTATTTCATAAAGTAAAATCATCAAACTTTCAGAGGTAAAAGAGAAAATGTTCACCTTTTCTCACCAAGCCTGTTTGTGGTAAGTAGGAGTCACAAGTGGAAAAGAGCCATCCCTTCTGTGGGACACCTTCCCCTCTCCTCATCCTCAGAGCCTGCCTTTCTCCTACTGTGGGGCTGGCAGCACCCAGGCTGGCAGATACACTCTATGCAGGTGGGAATTTCCCCTACAAATGGCACTTGCTTTCCCATTAATCCTGTTGTTGCTAAACTGTGAACTCACAATCACTACCTTCTGGAGGCTTGAACCCAGCCTCTGCCACAGCAGATGCTGCTCAGGAAGAGTTGAAACAACTGCTGTAAAGATTGGTGGGGGACGTGGCTGCCATCGTAGGCATAGCTCGGCAGACATAGCTGCTCAGGAAGGATTTCCCTGAGTGTGGGAGAGATGACAGGAATAGGTTATGCAAACTTCTTTTGACTGGTTCCAATCACACAGTTTCTAGAAAAATCTGATCACCCCAGGTGTCTCAGGCCTCTTGTCTTCCACAATCTTTCCCCTCTGGCAGCTCTGTAGGAGTATGCAAATCTTTCCATAGCTACATTACTTTTGTGCAAGTCGAGGTTGAAAACATTTTAGAAAGCAAAGTACTGCCGTTTCAGCGCTCAGTGGAGACTTCTCATCAGATGCCACTAAGATTCCACCAATATTTCCTTGAAGAGGAAAAACAAGAAACATCCAACTGAAGAATTATTCTGCATTGGCCTGCGTTGGTCTGTGCTGGGTACTTGGAGTGAGTTGCAAGTTCCGTCACTGCTTCTCATGAAGTTCACCCAGTTGAATGTATTTGGATATTGAGCTTCTTTGTTCGGGATGGCATTGTAATAAAATGCACAAAGGACAGGCTAGAGCCAGGGTGAGGAGGAAGGGATGGAGTCAGTGGGCTCCTCCTGCGGCCTGGAGGGACAGTGAGGTAAAGCGTGACCAGGTAGGAGGAAGCACTTTAGCAAACAGACCCACAGTTAAGGTAATAACAGCATCAGAACCACCAAAACCAGAGGGAAGGGAACTTCTGGAGCAAATCACAGGAAATATGTTCTGGAATAAGTTCAGGTGTAAATAAACGTAAAGAGATTTATTTATTTAGTTTATTTAGAGGTACGGGGACCCTGCGCGGGGCTGAGGTAACCCGCGCTCGCCAGTGGACGCGAGGCGGGCAGGGCTGGAGCGCCGCGGGTCACGCGAGGAGTACCTCCGCCCTCCACCCGGCGGCGCTCGGGGACGGACGAGTGAGCCGCCCAGGCCCGGCCGCTACCGGTGTCCGCTCGGTCCGCGCAGAGCCGCCCTCGGGAGCCCGGGTCGCCGACATGCTGGGCGCCTGGCTGCGGGTGTGTTCGGCGGGTCGAAGCTTGGCGGGCGAAGGGGGACTGGCCGGGACCTCAGAGTCCGGGATGCGGGACCGGAACCGAGACCACGGGCGGGGCGGGGCGGGGCGGGG